CACACCAGCCAAGGTGTGTGTCTGTGAAGGTGGTGATTCCCCAGGCAGTTTGCAAGTGATTAGGTGTTCTCAAAATGTGGCTAACGGGTCTTCAACTCACACTGCCAGACTCCTCTGCTCAGTGGCCACATCCCAGTGCCCAGACAGCCACACATCCATCCTTAGCCCCAGCTGCTCACCCACGACAGCAGCATCACACTCATTCCTGAGGAACCTCAAGCTTTTCTCATGGTGTAGACACCCTCTGCCCTCCCTTCCCCATGGTAGCTGCTCTTAATCTGTTGGAGGAGAGAAGATGAGGAGAGTTTCTTGTAGTGTTTGGTTCTTTGCACTTTAGCAGCTGAAGCAGAAGGAGCCAGCACCAGCCCTTTCCAGAGCACCAGTAGAGGTGACAACCCAACGACTTTCCCTTCGTGACTTTCCATTTGCTAAGACGGCAGCCAAAGCTGTATGGTTTAACCCTGCTCAGCCAGGTCTGTAGACAGCCTGGGCATTTACCCTGCATGCTGGCCATGTTGTGTGGGCTGGAGACCCCTGTGTGTGGGCAGGGAAGGGCTGTGTCTGCCACAGAGGCACACAGTGCCCAGGCAGCAGTGAGCTCTGCTCGCCGAGCCGTGATGGGGACAGAAGCAACCTGAGGGAAGAATTGAGGCACACCTGCTGAAGCCATCCCACAAGCTTTCCAGGAGCTGGTTCTTGTAGTTGCTTGGGCACCACACACTGGGATAGCTGCCCACCAAGGCTCCAGGTCCCACTAAATGCCAGCCTGGAGCTCTAAATCTTGCAGCAGCTTTTTCTTTGGGCCGTTGCTCTTTTCCCAGTGCTGCTCACTGGTCTCTGCTTTGGGGATTCCATGTCCTCAGCCTGGAGCTGCTTTTGGCTTTGAAGCAATGGAGAGCGAGGTTTGGAGAGTGAATCCAAGGCACATTATCCCAGTCTCACCATGCTGGGCTTGCCTTCCTCCTGCTCCCTGCAGGCTGCTCCCTGTGCCAGGTGGAAAGGACATCCTAGGGATGCCTCCCCCAAGATCCCCTCACGCAGCACTGCCATGGCCTGCCACCCACTGGGGATGCCAGCGTCCTGCCCACATTTTGTGGCAGTCCCAAATTCAAACCACAGGGGGTCCTTCCTTTCCTATCCTTCGTAGGAACTAGGGATCTTCTGCAGGGGCTCTGCAGCCCAGGAAGGCAGGATGTGCCATACTGACAACCAGAAGACAGAGAAGATGGAGAAGGAGCTGCCAGCAAGCTTTCCTCCAGGGTCCCTTTGATTTCCCCAGCACCCTCTGCTCCCTACATGGGTTCCCCCTTCCCTCTCGATACGAGGCCTTATTCCAACCTGAGGAGACTGAGGCTGCCCACAGCATCTCTTTGCACTGACATCCATCCCACACTGCCCGCCGGGAGCCCTGGGGCAGTGCAGCAGAGCTGGACTCTGCTAGGGGATGGAGCCACCCCCAGCCCATCCACACTCTCACCTCCCCATGCCAGTGCTCTGCCTTGTCCCCCACTGCCCAGGACCTGGCCACCATAGGGAAATCTGCTGTCATGGGTTAAACTTTTACTAATTAATTGCTCCACAAAAACCAACAGGGGCACTACACGGTTGCTACCCCTCCTCTTGCCTTTCCGTAGGAGTGGGGGCAGCCGATCTGCATTTCTTGGCCTCTGTAACCTTGTCCAAAACTTTTTGGATGTTTTTAACATGATCTAGTGAGATGTGATCTCCGTGGAGCCAGAGGGAACACAGGCAATGGAGCTGGGCAGCCTGTTGCCCCGGTGGCGAGTCGCTGGCGAGGTGTGTGGGCTGCCTTGGGTGGAAGGTGGGACACTGTCCCGGCAGCGCCGGTGCGACACCGGCTGCTCGTCTGTAGTCAGGAGAGGATTCTGCTATACCTTTTTCCTGTCTGTAGGTTTTATTCAGACAATATGTAATGATTGAGTGATTTACAATTCAGTGTTAAGCTAATGAAAACGTTGATAATGGTGATAATAAAACCTGTTTTTTTTCCTACGGTGTGTTGGAGGTTTTTTGTGGTGTGTCTCTGCCCTCTCTCTCTTGCCACCACCATTATCTTCAACCCCAGATTTCAGCTGTTCTCTCCCTTCTCCTTGTCTGTAGGGAGTGAGAGCAGCTCAGTCTGGTGTGTCCCACCACTGTCCCAGGTTCCTTCCCAGTGCTCTTTGTGGAAGCGCCATCACTTGATCTCTCTCAATCACCCCCAGCTTCAAACCTGCATTTCCCTGTGCCACTTCCAGATGTAATCTGGATCTCCAGGCAGAGCTAAATTTGCTCCCAGCTGTGCTCTGCTCATTAGCCCAATCAGCAGCTTTCTGCTCCTGCTGTTTTCTTCCCAAGACCTTTCATGGTCAGCACTGGCCATTCAAAGGTGATTTTGAAACCCTGGAGATGCAGACTCTGCTGGCAGAGAAAAACTAACCCTGTTGGGAATACTGAGCCAGTGTGGGTACAGGGGAGTCTGGGAACCCCTGGGGAAGGACACGTGGGTGTTACTGGGTGTGCATGGGATGGTCCTGGAATGACCTTGAGCTGTGAACCCTCAGGTGGGAAGTATTTGGGGCCTCCTGCTGCAGAGCTCTGCAGGAGAAAGTGGTGAGAACAGGCAGTGTTCCCTGGGGAGCCACTGCAAGCCCTTTTCCCATGGAAGTAACGAGGGATCACAAAGTCATAGTTCACTGAGAAATTCTTAAAGGTTTTTCTCATGCCCCCAAACTGGAGGAGCCACCAAGCAGTGGCACTGCCACACTGAATCCTGACGGAGAGTGCATGGCTGGCTCAGCCTCCAGATTGGGGTTGTTCTGCTTCCAGCTCCATAAGAGATGGGTTTCACTGGGGCCATGCCATGCAGGCTCTGACTTGAGCAGGAATCAAAGACTTGCTTCCTTCCACGAGGGTGGATGAGCGTGAGAGGTGCCAGCTCCATCCTGGACACTCAGAGGGTGTCCCAGGTTCAACATAGAATGAAGGAGAGATCTCCATCTGCTGCCCACTTCCAATGGCAAGGGCATTACAGCACAGCCAAGCCTTGGGCTGACAGCCTTGGGGGGATGGGGGAGTTGGGACACAGCAACAAAGGGGCTGAGCTGGTGGGATCCATGTGAAATGACACCACTGAGGAGCTGAGAAGCTGATGAAAGCCTTATTTTTAATCCTGTTTTACACACTCACAGCTTTCTCTCCCCTCCTTCCCTTTTCACTTTAAACCAAGGCTCACCCAGCTGGTCCAGATCTGGGGCCACTGGTGCAAAGTGAGGTGGCTGCTGGGCCCCTGGGAGGAACTGCAGCCCCAGCATTTTAGTGCTGGGAGGCTCCCCACACCCTGCCCATGATGCCACACATGCCAAAGGGCCCTGGGGAGCACCCAGGGGAAGCTGTCACAAACAGCCCCTGGTGCCAACCCAGCAGCACCCACATCATCCTCTCTGCCAGCACACCCAGGCTGTGCACCATTCCCACATCCTCTCCACAGAGAGCCAGCCCTGGGGTCTGGGGCTCAGACATATCCCTCTGCTCCTCCTCATGACAAATGACCAACCACCACCAGCTGGATTCACCTTTTATTAAGCTGCCACCCAGAACAAATGGAGCAAATGGAGCAAAGCCTGCCTCGAGGCCTTCCCAATGCTGCACTCTGCATGCCTTCCCCACCAGGAAAAGGGGCTTTTCCTCCAGGAAAAACACCTCAGAGGGATTTTAGACAGATTTAAGGGTGAAAATGTCCCTTTATTGGACGAAAAAAGTGACATGGAGCTCTTACTGCTGTCAGAGCCCAGTCCTGCTTTCCTGCAGAGACAGGATGGACAAAGGCCATGCTGGGGTCACCAGCTGGAAAGAGCCACCCAGGGGTGGCTGTGCAGGTACCATATCCAACCTGGGGATGCACACAGAGATGGGATCAGCCCCTTCAGTTAATCCCAACAAGTGCAAACCCATGGGGACTGGGAGGAGGCAAGGAGCTGGCATGCTTGCTGGACTTCCAAGTGGAGGAAAGGTGGGGAAAGAAGGGGTGATTTGGGCTAAAAAAAAAAAAAGAATCTCAGGGCCAAGCCCTTTGCACATGGCTCTGTGTGGTTCAGGGAGGCTCTCCCTGGGGCTGCCCTTAGCATGGTCTGGGCTCAGCACAGAGGTGGGATGGGGCTGGACTGAGCTGGATTGGGCTGGACTGGAGGAGTTCAGCTGCCCCTGCAAATGGGACACAGCATCTCAGCAGCCAGCTCAGCCTGGAGGACCTTCCAGTGGTGGTGAGGTGTAAGAGGTAAGGTGTGCTGGTGGGTAAGTGAGTGAGTGTATGGGCCTCCAGCCTCCAAAATCCCTGAGCCATCCACAAGCCTGAGCTCAGACCCAGAGGGCTGGTCATGGGAGATGCAGCTCCATGGAGCCGTCCCCATGTACTCAGCAGCAGGACTGCAGCCCTTTCCCTCCTTCCCACCTCTCCCTGCCCATCCACCACTGCAAACCTACTCTGTGGCACCAACTTACCTGCACCTGGTGTCAGCAGACAATTTAAAAGTCTCCAGCCCTGCAAGGCTTGCTCACACAGGCTTTGCTTTTGATACACTCTCAGCAAGTGCAACCCAGTCCACGGAGCAAGAGCCATGTGCTGGCAGGGGCCACAGCCAAGGTTTGGCAGGGTGGGAGGACAGCAGTGCTTCCCTTTGGGGAGCAGGGAGGTGGGAAAGCAAACCAACAGCTCACTGGGCTTCACATCAGGGGGGCTCTTGCCAGACCCAAATGCTCGAACCTTCTTGGGAGGAAAAAGCAAAAGAAACCCCTAACAATGTCATTCAGTGCTGCAAAAAAGGAGCAATTATTTCTCAACAGGGTTTAACGGCTCCTGCTGGACCCTGCGTGGGGCTGGCTGCCAGCTGAAAGGGGAGAGGAACAGAAGAAATGAGAGCAGTAAGAAGAACCTGACATCTCTGTTCTTAATTTATCATCATAGTAAGACTCGAGCACCGAGTACAGCTCGGCACGCGCTCCTAGATGGATTTCCTCCGCAGCCGGGGGTGCTGCCGGCAGCGAGGGCTGCTGGATGATAAAGTGCTCCCTGGGGAAGAGCCGGTCTGACCCCGCGTGCTCAGGGACACCTCGTCGATTTTGTAGGAAATGGAGTTGTAATACACAGGGTTGGTGTGGCAGCTCAGGGTCTCGGGGTGGGAGGGCACTGGGCTGCCACACAGCTGGGGTCTGTAGCACAGGCAAGTGCAGAAGGAGGGCACCGCGCCCGCCGAGTTGGCCGACTGGCGCCGCTGCCTCTCCGCGTCCTCACGCACCAGCGGGATGAGGTTCATCTGGCTCGTCCTGTCCTCCACAGGGAGAAAAATGGCATTGCTGCTCCGGCTGTCCTCTTTTGGCTTGAGGAGGATGTTGTTCTGGGCTCTCCTCAGTGAGGCTCGCTCTTCGGCGTCTCGCCGCTCGTCCTCCGAGTTCATGGTCAGGAACCGCAGCACCACCAGGTTGAGGAAGGCGCCGATGACAGTTAGGCCAACCAGGATGTACATGAAGCTGAAAGCCACGTATGGAGGCTTCTTCTGCAAAGCCTCGTTCTTCTGCAGAGCCACAAAGTCTCCAAAGCCAATAGTGGTCAGGGTTATGAAGCAGTAGTAATAGGCATGAAAGAAAGTCCAGCCCTCGAAATAGGAGAAGGCGGCGGCGCCGATGCACAGGGTGCCCATGCAGGACAGAAAGCCCACAAGGACCATGTTCTCCATGGAGACATGGGTTGTCCTCATGCCCAGACACTTCTTGATCTTCTTGAGCAGCAGCCGCACAACGGTGTTCATGCGTTCCCCCAGGCTCTGGAACATGACCAATGTCAGGGGGATGCCCAGAATGGCATAGAACATGCAGAAAACTTTGCCGGCGTCTGTGCCCGGGGCAGCGTGCCCATAGCCTGCAAAGGGGAGAGGAAAGATGGCATCAGGCCCTCACTGGGGTTTCCAGCAAGGCTGACTTGTGACCAACAGGAGCAGTAGAACAGGGGAAAATGGACAATGACTCAGTAACGGATCTGCAGGCAATGCTAATGGGGCCATGGAACGCCACATCCTTTGGGACGACAGCACATTGTGGTTATCATGTAGGCAGAACGTCATTTGTCCTCTAAAGAGAGAAGGGACCCTCCTGATAGCCCTCGAGCTTGTCACGGAGGCAAAGAGGAGCCCTAGAGCTGGACTGGGCTCTGCAAGTCTCCTGCAGCTCATGAACAATCCCGAGGCCATGATGCTGTGCCAGTGCTGGGTGTGCAGGGCAACCTGAACCCCACTGTGAGGGAGGAGGGAGGCTCCACAGGATGCTGAGTCCAGCAGCACTAGGCCATCCTGTGGGAAGGTACACACCCAGCCAGGACCATCCTTGCAGGGGGCATCGTCACCTCCCCGGCACCTGCTCCTGCACTGTCTGAGCCCTCCAGTGTCATGTGCACCTTTCACTCCCAGCTGTATGAGCATTTGCTGATGGCCTGTTGGAAAGGAGCTACAGGGACCTGTGCTACAGGGTCAGTCCCTGCAAGAGCTGAGAGGACTTCTGCAGTCCTACTCTGGTTTTACTCCAGTGTCACTAAGACTCAGCCCTAAAGCACTGCCGGACCCTGGGAAGAAGTGGGTGTGCTGTTTAAACGCAGGGAAGTGAGTATTTATGCCACTGCACCCCTGTCAGCCCTTGTCCTGGGGACAAGGCACTCAAGGAGGACAAGGTTCTCCTTGAACGCCTTCTGAGATTTAATTTCCCCACCTTGGTCCAAGTTTCAGAGCCGTGACTCAAGGACACACATAATTATACTATGAGGCATAATGAGGTATTCACTGCAGCTTCCGGACTCCAGTGATTCTGTGCCCACCTCAATTACAGAAGCTTTGCAGAAATCGGTGGCCCCTGACCTCAACGGATGAGTAACAAACTTGGTGCAAGGGAATCACATAGTGTGGGCAGTAACAGCATCCAAACGCATCCAAAGGCATCCAAGCCTTTCTTTTGAGTTTCTTTTACAAGAAACTACCAGGGCTGAAACTTCCCTTCTGCAGGCACCTGCAGAGCAGTGCCAGCTCCTTCCCACGCTGCTGCCAGGCCTTTGGCAAACAGCTATTGATATTTTCCACTTTTTGCAGGAATTTGTGTAACTTTTGCATGGAGAACATGGGGGGGAAACACCCCCTTGTTATTTCTCAGTCTTGTTCTAAGCTGTGACTTGACTTCACCTCTATCCCTGCTGCCAGTGAATTTCCAGGACTCTTGGGAAACTCGGCAGCACACAGTGATGGGATGATCAGAGGAGGATAACCATGTTACTCCAGGCTCTGGAGCACACCTCCTGCTCCAGGAAACTCCTGCATGGGACAGGGCTGAGAGGCTGAGGACAGTATTATCCTCCACCACGCTGTGCTCTGAACTGTTAGCAGGCAGGAAGAGACCAGCTTCTAATTGCTCTGTCTGTACACAAAACCACAGAATCAAAAATGATAAGCTTAATGCCTGCATGCCACATTTTACAGAATACAAAGCAGACAGGAGACTACAGTGGCAAAAAAAAAAAAATCAGTCAGATCCAAGCTTAATAACTGAGTGCAATTACCAGGTCCCAGGCTACAAGATAATACAATGACAGCAATGAGGAGGTAAATATAATGATCCACAAGAGCAGTAAGAGGAAAAGCAGTTGTTGTATCCTGAGAGGCGGCTGAAAGAGCATTTGAGTGATGCTTTCGAAATGACAAAGGGAATTAGAAAGAGTAAACACAGCTACATTAACGTTAAAACAGAGATTTGGAGCACAGCCCAACATAAAGTGATCTGACATGCCAATGTTTTAGAAATATGGCACCTGGGCTGAAATTATTTATTGTACAGGGTGTGTGATAAGCATAGCCATTGTTTGTCACAGCCGACAGGAAAATCATGTAAATGAAGCTATAACCTGTCAGGCAATGATGGAGATTTTCGCTGAAGCCACTCATCCTTCCCTCCTGCTGGGGCCTGACCTGAGCCCATCCCTGTTTGCTGGCCACGTGTGTTCCCAGCAGCACAAACCCTACACAGCATCCCGTGGGGACACATGGAGCCCCCAGGCAGGGAACCTGCTCCTCCACCACCTCTAGTCCTCAGTAATGTGGTGCAGTTGATTTTCACCAGCCCTTGCCCTGAGGGATGATGCTTTCAGCTACCAGAGCTATTACACCCATCCCAAGCCCATCCTGCAGATGAGGAGGTAGCTGCTGGCTGTGGCAGGGCAGGATTTGGCCTCAGGATTCTTGTCCCCAAAACACATCTGCTGTCTGAAATCCCAGCACAAGCAGTGGCATGAGCACAGGATCCTGTGCCTATCGACCCCCATGGGATGCTCAGGGTGCATGGATTAATCAAAGTGGATTAATTAAACAATGTTCAACTCCCATGTGGCTAATCTCATCTAGAATTAAGGCAACCCTCATTCAATTTAGTTTCATTCCCTTGCAAAACTTAAGCAGGCAAACCAAGGCACTGGGGTCTAGTATGGGCGAGTGTATCTACGTGGGGGTTTAATGCAATTCAATTACTCCCCTCCAAGCTGATACCCATTTCTCTGCAGGTTTCCATGCAGGTTGAGAAAGGGGCAGTGGCTGGCGGCTCTCTTGGCTCCCTGAAGCACATCTCACACAGCCAAACATCCAGAGTTTTGAGCTGGCAAAGAAGCAAACGTTTCTTGCCCAGCTCTTGGCCTGGCTCACTGGCTACAACGCTGCGCAGGGGACAGATGTGGCCTCCACCTCTGCCCTCCCACAATGCTGCCAACTTCGGCAGCTTCCTGCCCTGAAGGTTCCTGCAGAAGCTCCACGAGCTGCTGACTC